TTGTTTTTTTTTTATTTTTATAAAAAAAAAAAATTAAAAAAAAAAAAAGGAGGGCATTATTTTCTATGCCTAGCAATTTGGTGGCGCAGATCTTCGATTGGTGGCGCTAAAACAGTCACGCAAATGAGTTTAAAATATAGATTTATATAATATATTTTCCTGAACCGCTCAAGCAATGGCCGGATGGTTTAGTGGTATAATTCTCGCTTAGGGTGCGAGAGGTCCCGGGTTCAATTCCCGGTTCGGCCCATACATTTTTCTCACTGCAGAGGGGATTTTTTGGGGTGTACGACATTTGGTGTATATTACACACTAGATGTTATTTTTTCTGGATCCATGACAGCTGTGCTATCAGGCGCTCCTGGTTATGCGTAGATGTTCCCATTAACGCCCGCACGGCCCTTACATAGCGTGGCAGTTTAGCGAAGGACGGGTAGACGTACTTTTTTGTGGCTATTGCTGGCATCAGGATGACTTGCTAGAGGGTGTATGAAGATTACAATTTTTTTTCTTTTCAGCAGCCGCCAAGAGAGACTAGTAAGATTAAGAGCGAGTGGCAACACAATCCTTTTCTTTTTTAACAGAAGAGAAGAGAAATGAGGGGTAACATTTTTGTTGTTCATTGTTAAACGCAAGCCTGTTGGACAGGCAAAGTGAAAAGCAGACGTCAGCGTTTGCTCTCACAAGACAGAAAAACCGAAGAAAGAGACCATTGCTGATGATGATTAAAGAGCTAGGTCGATAGCGGGCCACTAGTGCCTGAAGTACCATGCTTTTTTTTCGATTTGACGCGTCGAGAGTGAGAGACTGTCCTCGTTCTCTTTGCCTGCATCTATGCAGTGGGAAGACCAATGTTTATTGGTTCACTTGAAGCAGTGAGGCAGCTGTAGGACTGAATAGGTGGAGAAGTGTATAGCAGCTTGTCTTCGGCGTAAGTATCCATCTACTCCACATGCCGATAGATGTGGTGATCCACACGACATCGGATAGACATGGCAGTTTGCCAGAGCAGGAGAAAGTGCGATATGTGGTTACTGCAGATCGCTGATGACGTAGTGAACGCTCTCAACTCTGTTGGTTTCAGGCTCCTTACACAGACAGCCAGCCGCTGACAACCTCTCCCACATCTCTTTTGTCTTTTTCAGTAACAATGAGACCATGGCACTGTCCACGAC